GCAAAGTTGCATCAGAAAAATGGCTGTCAATGAGGAAGTGAGCCCTCACTAGACACCTAATCTACCAAAACCTTGATCATGGACTTCCTCGCTTCTAGAGCTGTGAAAAATAAATATCTGTTGTCTATAAGCTACCAGTTTGTTGTATTTCATTATAGCAGCACCAAAAGTCTGCAGTACAGTATAATATGTTGAAAAAGACCATCATTTCCTCATTATATTGTCTTTGCTCCTTTGTCAAGGATCAATTGAATATATTTATATGACATTATTTCTGAACTCTCTATTCTAGTTCATTGACCTGTTTGTCTATTCCTTCATTAGTACCATACTGTACTAATTACTATAACTTTATGGTAAGTCTTGAAGTGGGATAGTGTCAATTCTCCAACTTTGTTCTTCTCTTCCAATATTTTACTGGGTATTCTTTTCTTTTTTTAACTCTATATAAACTTTAAACTTAGTTTGTCAATATCTACCAAATAACTTGTTGGAATTTTGGGGGGGAATACATCAAATCTATAGGTCAAATTGGGAACCACTGATATCTTGACAATATTAAATCTTATGAACATAAAAGGTCTCTCCATTTCTTTAGTTCTTTGATTTCTTCCAAGAGGGTTTTGTAGATTTCCTAACTTAGTTCTTGTGCTTATTTTGTTAGATTTATATCTAAGGATTTTATTTAGGGAGTAGTTAATGTAAATGACTTTGTGAATTCCACTTGTTCATTGCTAGTATAAAGAAAAGCAATTAGCTTTCGTATGTTGAACTTGTATTTTACAAACTTGCTGTAATCACTTATTAGTTCAAGAAGTTTGTTGATTCTTTTGGGTTTTTTCCTACAAAAACAGTTGTGTCATCTGAGAAAAAAGACCGTTTTATGGCCTTCTTTTTAATCAGTATTCTTCTTAGTCTTTTTTAGTCTTTTTTTTTCTTGTCTTATCTGTTCACTAGGATGAAATTTCTTTTTTCCTTAATCTTAATTAATTCTAAATTTAAATTTTTTGAGTTATTTTGAATGTTTCTATTGTCATTTGCTTTCTCTGTTCACAGATGCTGGATTTTGTTTTTTAGATGCTGAATGCCATGGAATACTCTATTTTTTTAGATTAAAAAAATTGTTCCATTTTACAAGAGTTTTTTTTACTTTTATTTTTAAATTACTTATTGGAATTTTCATCTGATCAATATAAAATTTGTAAGAACTCATTATCTCTGTATATTCTTTTTTATATTTTTAAAAAATTATTATGGATGCATAATAGTTATGCATACTTATGGGTACATGTGATGTTTCAATGCAGGCATACAGTACATACTAATCAAATCAGAGAAACTGGAGTATCCATCAAGTCAAACATTTATCATTTCTTTGTGTTGAAAACATTCTGATTCCACTCTCTCAGTTCTTTAAAAAAAAAATACAATAAATTATTGTTACCTGTAGTCACCCTTTTGTGCTATTGAATACTAGATCTTATTCTTTCTGTGTAACAGTACTTTTGTACTCACTAACAATCCCCTTTGTCTCCCCTTCCCATGTCCTTTCTCAGTCTGTGGTAACCAACATTCTATTCTTTATTTCCTTGAGTTCAATTATTTTTTTATTTTAGCTTTCACATATGAGTGAAAATGTGCAATATATTTCTGTGCTTTACTTATTTTACTTGACATAATTTCCTCTAGTTCCTTCACATTCATTTTGCAAATGGCAAGATTTTATTCCTTTTTTATAGCTGAATAATATTTCATTGTGCATATAAGTGACATTTTCTTTATCTGTTAATTCACTCATGAACACTTAATGTGATTCCATACCTTGGCTATTGTGAATAGTACTGCAACAAATGTGGAGGAGCATATATCTTTTTGATACACTAATTTTCTTTTTTTGTTGAATACCCACTATGGGATTCCTGGATCATATGGTGGCTCTATTTTTAGTTTTGTGAAAAATCTCCATACTGTTCTCCATAGTGTGTACCAATTTACATTACCGCTAATAATGTATAAGGATTCCCCTTTCTCCAAATCCCTGCCAGCATTTGCTATTTCCTGTCTTTTAGATAAAAGCTATTTTAAATGGATTGCAATGGATATCTCATTATAATTTTGATTTATATTTATCCTATGATTAGTGATATTGGGCATTTTTTTCATATGCCTGTTGGCCATTTTTATGTCTTCTTTTGAGAAATTCAGATCTTCCGACCATTTTAAAATCCAATTCTTTTGCTTTTTTCTTATTGAGTTGTTTGAGTTTTTCATATTTTCTGGTTATTGAGCCCTTGTCAGGTGGATAGTTTGCAAAGATTTTCTTCCATTCCGTGGATTTCCTCTTCAATTTGCAGCTTTCTTTTTTAGTTTGATGTAGTACTATCTGTCCATTTCTGATTCTGGTTTTGATGTTTGCCTTTCCTCTTCAGGCATTTTTCCCCCCTCTTGGTATGCATTGTGTTTTTTTCTTGCCTTTGAGCTTGCCTTGCAATTTGTTTGTTGAAAACTGTGCATGTTATATTCAGTAATAGGAACTGAAGTAAACATATCTTTAACGTCAAGTTGTATGGTTATCTGGCTATGAGTTGAGTTGTGCTTAATGTTTTCTGTAGCTACAAGTTTCAATGACTTCAAATTTTGCTAGTGTCCTATTCTGTTGCTCCCTGTTGATTCTAGGTTTCTCTAGGTATACCTCCTCAGAAGAAGTCTGCATTGTGCTACTTTTCTAGCTGTAGTTCACTTGTTATTCCAAAGTCCTGCTGTGTTTTGGCAAGGTGTGGGATAGGGAAAGCATACTGTACATTTGTGATTAAATCTCAATCTTTGGTAGGCCAATTACTTAAGGCTATAATCTTCACAAGTATTTTTCCAGTGGTATAGCTTTTCTCCACCTATAGGTGAGTCAAGAGTAGAGGAAAATAGAGTGTGAAAAATGTCCTTCCTTAGAGTGGAATGAGCCTCTAATAAAATCTTATCCTCTGGAGATTAGGACTTTGTTACAGGGAATGCTCTGATCATATTTTACTGAAAGTCCTCCCCAAGTGCTCTGAATCTGTTCCATAATTTTTCACATTCTATATTTCACATTTATATTCATACATCTTGATAGCAGCTTTATACTTCAGGTATAAAAGTTTGCTTGGAACATCTCAAGCACACAATAAGTACATATTTAAGGAAAAAATTGGTAAATTAGTAAACTAATACATATATGGTGATTTAAAAGTATTAATAGAATATCCTTTTATCTTATCATTTTGTAGTATAAGTCTTCAGTGCTTTAAATGGTCTTTGGAGGAAACTATTTATTTATTTATTTGCTTTCATATCCTTCCTAATAAATTTTAAATTAATATTTAAATTTTAATCCTTGTGTACCTTTGTTCACACTGTTTATCCTACCTAAAATGCCTTATTCCACTTCCTAATATGTCTCCAATGCCTAGCTGAGGATCCATCTTTTTATTCCATCTTCTCATATAAATCTTTCTCAGCTTCTCCAAGTGTCATAAAAATCTTTTCTCCTACACCACATATTAAAAATGAGCCCCATTTACCTTTAAGTTTATGCCACATTATATATTGTGATACTCATGCATGCATCTTTTCTTCTAAAATATATTGGTAAACTGCAGTAGTCAAGGATGTTGTCTTATACTTCTTTGATTCCTCAGTGTATGTCAATGCATCCTCTATTGATCCATAAACATTGTTGAATAATGTTTTCTATTGATAATGAAGTCATCAAAGATGGTAACTGATAATGAAGTAATCAAAGAATAAATTTTCCCTCAAGTGATGAAACTGCTTATACCTAGAGGATTTCAAGGCATTTGATTAATGGGGTTCAAAACTTCTCAACCACACATTCAACACCATGTGGGGTTGCTTGGCTTTTGACTGATCGTATTAGTTTAGGGTAGTTGGCGTTACTTTCAAGTGCCTGAATGTTTGCTCAGTGACTAATCATCAGAGTAAAAATTTATCCTGTTTTCTCTTAGGTATCGGCAAATTTCAGTTCTTCTGTAATTCACACCATATATCAGCTAAGAAGGAAAGAGCTAATTAAAAATCACTGTTTTATCTGAAGAAAAGTCCAATATTAATGGTAAAGTTTCCCTTTATATTCTCCCTTACTGTCTTACCTCTTTCCTCTTTTTTCTTCTCCTTCCTATTTCTCTTTCCTTCCTCTCTCTGATCCCTTGCTCATTTTATCTTTCATTTCATTTTATTCTCTTCCCATTTTCCAATCTATGACCAGCAGAAACACTGAATTTGTTAATTCTGGTTAAGTCAAGTTTACTGTGAAATCAGAAGGATTTTGTATTGGAATAAGAGATGGTAAAAGGAAAAAGTGGCAGAAGAAATGAAGAGATAGAAGAAGGGACAAAACACTGATGTATAGGTGTAAAAATCAGTAAGAATAGAGACAAAGAGTGTTTATTAGAGTAGATGGGACAAAAGGTCAAACAATGGAAGAGCTATAGTCATGAGTATATTAAATTTATCCTAGTATTCATCTTAAGCCTAAAACTGTATTTCTGTTTTCCATTGTCATGAACATTTATATATCATCTTGGTTCTCTCTTGCATTCAAAATCAACTTCTTGAGGCAATTAACATTCATATTGATAGGCTAAATATAAGCAACATGATATTTTAGCCCTTAAATATTGAGACAATAAATCTATTTTGCATGCATGTTCAATTTTTTACCTTATCATAATAAATGTAACTAAACTAGAATACAAAATGATTTATAAGGCAATCTTTTTTATTTCTACACATTTGTACAAAATGTTTATTTTTCTCATTGTGTGCAAAGTAATAGATTTTCTAGAATTTGTCAGACATAAATTATTTTTTTATCCCATTAGTCTAAACAATCAATAGCAATGACAGTACTTTGACATTGTTGCCTTCACAGTTTACTGTTAGTACTTTTACATAATCTTTTTCTCAACATTTTTACCAGAGCAGAAGGAGATCGAGGAGTGGAAATGAAAAACCATACAACAGTGACAGTGTTTCTCTTAGCAGGCTTGACAGAGAACCCAAAAGCAATGATTGTGCTGTTTATCTTCCTGCTTCTCACCTACTTGCTAAGCATCTCTGGCAATCTGATTATCATCACCCTCACTCTGCTGGATTCTCATCTCAAGACTCCTATGTATTTCTTCCTTCGAAATTTTTCCTTTTTAGAAATTTCTTATACAACCGTCTGCATCCCCAAATTGCTTGTCAGCATGGCAACTGGTGACAAAACCTTTTCCTACAATTGTTGTGCAACTCAGTTATTTTTTGCCTTCCTTCTGGGTGCATCTGAATTTTACCTCCTGGCTGTCATGTCCTATGATCGCTATGTTGCCATCTGTAAACCTCTGCATTATACAACTATCATGAGCACCAAAGTCTGCATCCATCTGGTCCTTAGCTCTTGGATTGCTGGTTTCCTCATCATTTTTCCAGGACTCATCTTAGGCCTAAGTCTGGATTTCTGTGACTCCAATGTCATTGATCATTTTTACTGTGACACTGCTCCTCTACTGCAGATCTCCTGCACAGATACACATCTGTTGGAAATGATAAGTTTTGTCTTAGCTTTGGTGACTCTCCTGGTCACTTTGGTATTAGTGATCTTATCATACACATCTATTGCCCTAACAATTTAAAAAATCCCTTCTGCCAACCAGAGAAAAAAGGCTTTTTCTACCTGTTCTTCTCATATGATTGTCATCTCCCTTTCATACGGCAGCTGCATCTTTATGTACATTAAACCCTCAGCCAAACAGAGGATATCCTTAATGAAAGGAGTTTCAGTGCTCAATACCTCAGTTGCCCCACTTTTGAACCCATTCATTTATACGCTAAGGAACCAGCAGGTGAAGCAAGCATTTAAGGACTTGCTACAAAGAGCTCTGACGTTATCTAAAAGGTAGAATAGTAATGAGGTATATAAGGAACATTAATTATTAAGGAAAAATTTTTTAAAGTCTTGATTGGAATTTAATTTTTCTGTTACACCACCTTATATAAAATAGCACATGTGTTTTCACTTATTTCTAAAGTGTTATGATGTTTACATAAATTCTTTCCCCAATAATGACTCCCCTTACAAAATAATAATTTCTTTTTCTATTCCCTTATAAGCATTCTCAAATCTGACAGCTTCTTCTACTCTTCTTTCATTAAAATACAACTAATACTGGAAATGTTATTTTTATCAACTTAATGTATCAGTTCAGTGGGACTTAATTATTTTCACATATATGGAGTATATTTAGTTCTTATGTTTGTTTTCTGAAAACTCTTAATAAGTGCAAAACAATTATATAATATGACTTCTTTGGGATTTTGTTTATCCCTGAATTTTTATGCCCTGATATAAATTTTCAGATTTTCTTCTTTTCCAATAAATTTAAAAGTGGAAAGTTGTGGATAAAATGTCAATCTTTGTCTTGATTTTTTTAAAGAAAAGTTCACATTGTGCTAGTATAATAAAAAAATCATATGGTATGCTATATTTATATTATATTTTATTTTATATAGATAAATTAATATTAAGTCATATGTTCACACTAGATCTAGGTAATTTGATAAGGAATAAAAAATAACCTAACAAGATAACATTTTATGCCTTATCAACCATTCCTAGTTCATTTTGGAACTAACTGTGTCCCTTAGAATCTACATCTATAAAATGATAAGAACCAGTTACTCTATTTTAAGATATTTTTAAAGCTAATTTAAAAGTATAAAATAACTATTAGTTGAAAAGAATAATGTTACCTATGAATTCATTTATATTATTGCATATATTTAGCATATCTTATTAGGAAAATTACAATAGAAATAGATCACGTAACCCCTTTTCTTTAGAAGCATGTAATCTAATTATAAAAAACAATATATTTATGATAGAAACCAGAAAGTCAATCAGCATATTTAATTGTGTCGAGTACAAGTAATAAAAAATAATCAGTAAAATATACTCTAAAAATGATTTTGAATAAAATGAAATTATATATTTTAAAACTACTTAAAAATCAATTGTCTATATGTAACTACGATTACATAGGAAATATAGGAGACAAATGAGCATGCTAAATGACACCATTAGAATCCAATTCAGAATATGGGATATTCTATACTAAAATAACCTCATTGTTTTAACAAGCAAAAACATAGAAAAAAAAGAGATTAGAAAACGTTTTCTAGATTACAAAGAAATTAAGAGACATATCCTACCAAGTGCAAAATGCAGACATTAATACTAGTTTAAGCAAAGAAATTGCAAAGTGGCATTTTATTAAATGTTTGAATAATTTTAAAATGTGCAGTGTGGTAATGTTACTGGAATTATGTTTTTAATTTCCTTATCTGTTAGAGTTAATTCATAAAATATTTAGGGGTGAAATGATATGATGTTTCTTGTTTGTTTTAAAACTGTGTTCTAAAAATATTAGACAGAGGTAGACTAAATAAAAATAGCATAACACTTATACTAGTCAAAGACTAAGTAAAAATAACATAACATTTATAATAGTCAAAGCTGAATGATGGATTCATGGGTGTTCATTATACTATGCTTTCTAAGGTGTATATTTGTAAATTTCTAGAAACAATATTATAAAACAAAAACTAGCTTAGAAAAAGATAGAAGGTGAATTACATTATTAGTATTCCAATTTACGACTTGCTTAAACTATCTCCTAATTTCCATCTGACATATATAATTAAATTGTTCATACCCCTTTTTAAATTTTCAAATATTATAGTCATAAAGAAGACAGCTATTTTAATATTACTAGAGAATAAAAAGGAAAGCCAAAATTGTATTAAGTCTGTGAAAAGTTTTACTCCTTTCTTTATGTAACATTTATTTGAACAGGTACCACAAAATTTAAAACCCTAGTACCCCAATTTCTACAACTATTGCATTTGATACTAAGAAAAGTTGCATGGATATAATAGTTACAGGCAAACCTTTTATTTATGAACAAGACTTCCCTTCCACGTCCCTAACTGCATCCTGCTACAGTGAAATAGGTTAGAAAAACTACTATTTGTTGAGTACTAGTCTGTGCCAGGCAACATCCAAGGTATGACTCATACTAATAATATTTTCAATAAAGCAAAAAGCAAACAAGTAACATAAATTATCTTTATTTTTTTCTTGTGGAAAAAAAAAAAGAGCTTCAAAGAGTCACTGTAAATTACCCAGAATACATATCAAGGTAGTAAGAGACACAGAATTCAAATTAAATTCTCCCCAATTCCAAAGACCACATTCCTTCCAGCATCAGCATTCTCCAGTCTGCAACAAAGAGTAGATTATAGGTATACCAAGATAGTGATGGCTTCAACTTTTGGGTTGGGTTGTTACGTGTGGCTGATATTCTAATTCACTGTAGTATCTTGTATAAATATTGTTATTTTATATATGATTCAGGACATAAAAGAAAAAAGCTGGAAAGTTCTGTAATACAACAATTATGTGCCTTTTTACACTTTTAGTATACAGTCTAACATACAATCAGATTACAATGAAGAAAATAATTAGTTCTGTATACTCAGGATTCGCCCTCACACTTGCTCTCACCCTCACTCCCGTTCTCATTCTCTTCCCCTCAATTACTTTTTATTCCTTTTTGGTAGAATGACTTCATTCTGGGTCCATAAGTCACCGTTAGTCAATCAAGGCATTGGGCATTCTGGTTATTGTGAATAGCTCAAGGTTGTACTTTTATCTCAGGCTTTGGAAATGACCATATTCTATCTGTAAACAATCAGAGCTGAGCATGTAACCAAAGTCAGTTCAGTTAAAATAAAACAACCCACCAAAGAAATAAAGACAAAAATATCGATCCAATAAATCTGTGTGTTAGTGAGAATTTTCCTTTCTGGTACAATCAGACTGTGAAAAAATACACCCGAGTCTTCCAGCGATTCATTAATTAGAGCATATGTATCTGACTATGAAGCCAGTATAAAGAAAAACAACGCCAAGAAAAGAACTAAGAGAGTATTAATGTCAATGATTTAATTTGATTTCCTATAACCAATCATAACAGAAGGTAGAAATTCCTGGAATTTAAGATTAGATTGTATATATGTACAACTGAAATGATCCTATCTAGTTGTTCTATCTAATAAATGTTCTCTGTGCCTCATTCTCTATCTTTCCAGACTTTTTATTTGAGGGTAAATGGCAAGCTGTAGCAAGAAGAGAAAGTGAAAACTGAGAACAATGTCAATCCCTGTATACCTGTCTGCTACATTTTCCCTTAAGAAGAAGAAGAAGAAGAATGGCATCAAGACTTATCTTCATTTTTATTTTATTTTGTAAATTGTTTTTAATTTTATTTTAGTATAGGGATGTGGGGTACAAGTAAGGATTAACTACACAAGTAGGCTGAATGCAGGTGAAGTTTAAGCTTCCAACTGGCCCTCACTTTCCCTGGTTTGGGACCAGGAACACTGTATTGTTATGTCCCCCCCCCGGCCCCTGCTCCCTCCTTCCTTTCCCTGATAGTGCCCAGTGACTGCCAATCCCTCCTTTGTGCTATTGTGATTAATGTTCCGGTCCCACTTATGAGTGAGAACATGCAGTATTCAGTTCTTTGTTTTGTGATAGATCACTAAGTATGATGGTCTCCAATTCCATCCAATTTGCTGCAGAATACATGATTTTGTTCTTCTTTATGGCTGTATAATGGTCCATCATGAATATGTGCCACATTTTCTTTGTCCAATTCACTTACCGATGTGCAGTAAGGTTGGTTCCATGTTTTTGCTATTGTGAATAGTGCAGCTAGAAACATACATGTGTATGTTTCTTCTTGATAGAATAATTTATGTTATTCTGGATATAGTCCCAGGAGAAGGATTGCTGGATTGTATAAAAGTTCAATTTTTAGTCATTAAGGAATTGTCACACTGCTTTCCATAGAGATTGAACTAGCTTGCACTCCCACCAGCTGTGTAGAAGTGTTCCCTTTTCTTCATTCCTGTGACAGCAACTGTTGTTTTTTGGTTTATTAATGATGGCCATCCTTACTGGAGTTAGGTAGTATCTTCATTGCAGTTTTGGTTTGCATTTCTCTGATGATTAGTGAAGTTGAGAATTTTTTCAAGTGTCTGTTGGCTGCTTGTATAACTTACTTTGAAACATGTCTATTCATGCCCATTCTCCACTTTTTATTGATTGATTGATTGATTGATTGAGTTGGAGTCTCACTCTGTTGCCCAGGCTGGAGTGCAGTGGCATGCTCATGGCCACTGAGGCCTTGACCTGCTGGGCTCAGGCAAACCTTCCTTCTCAGCCTTCCAAGGCACACGCCACCATGCCCAGCTTACTATTATTATTTTTGTTTTTATTTGTTGTAGAGATGTGGTCTCACCAAGTTGTCTGGACTGGTCTCAAACCCGTGGGCTCAGGCAATCCTCTCACCTCGCCTCCCAAAGTGCTGGGATTGCAGGCGTAAGCCACTGCACATGGCCTGTCCACTTTTTAATAGTGTTGTTTATTTTTTTCTATTCAGCCAGTTTGAGTTCTTATAGATCCTGATGGATCTACAAGATGGAAGGCCTTTGTCAGATATTTGTTGTCATTCTGTGGGTTGTCTCTTTACTCTCTTGATCATTTTTTGCTGTGCAAAAGTTTCCCAGTTTGATGTGGTCCCACTTGTCTGTCTTATCTTTTATGGCATTCACTTTTGGGGATTTTGTCAAGAAGTTGTTGCTTATTCTGATGTGCATAAGGGTGTTTCCTATGTTTTATTCTTAGAGTCTTACAGTTTGCAGTTTTGCATGTAGGTCTTTAATCCGTTTAGAGTTGATTTTTTACATATGGCAATAGGCAGGGGTCAGTTTCATTCTTCTGCATGTGGTCAGCCAGTTTTCCCAGCATCATTTGCTAAATATGGTCTCCTTTCCC